GGGCAGGGAGAGACACACAGGGAGTAAGTCCACACAAGTTCCTGGCAAAAACTTTTAGTTGCATTTTTCTGAGTTTAATCAGTAAGCTATATTAAAGTGACAGTTACCATTTGAGGAAGCCAGAGTTTGATCAGTCAGCCACAACCAGTTTGGGTGTCTTCCACTGATGCATGGCCCCCAAGGAAGCAGTCATTTGGTCATCTATCACATGTGGCTGAATCACTGGATATCCGCCGTCCCCCTCCCCCATCCCTGTTAAGCAGAAGGCCGGGCAGGAGAGTGGCCTGCAGCCCAAGCGGGACCTCTTATAGGGACCTGCCAATTAGCTGCTGACCAATCGCAGGCAGCACCTAGTACCTAAGTCACATGACAGGGCAGTCCCTATGACTGCAGGATTTCTGAATTACTGGGGTTACACAAAGGACACTCATTCAGGAAAAGAGAAAAAAAAAAAACCTTAAGCCAGAAACAGAAAACGCCCAGGCTGTGACAACTCCAGCTTTAAAACAGGGAACACCCGAGCCTCACAGAGAGAGAGCCACAACCAAGTTAGGATAGAAATCAGAGGAATGACTGGCACATATTAAAAAATAATCCCTAAGCAGAAACTAAGTTTACAAACCCACTTCAGCTACAAATCTACTCCTCCTTCCCCTTCCTCCGTAGTCTCCACAACAATTTTACATTCTAAACTTATTTTTAAAAGCTCCAGTGAGCCTCTGCAAAGGCTCTGTAAGAAAATGTCAGACACATGAATCCTCTCTCCCCACAACCCCTCAAAACACCTCTAAAAAGATTCAAAGATTGCCAAAAAAGTTTCTTAAATGAAATACTTTTCTTTCAAAATGTTTGGTTAAATCGGACTAAATTAAACATTGTCAAGTCAAATTTGTTTGGTAACTACCAAATCATACACTTACCCCCTTCTCTCTCCTGTAATCATTTGACTGTTCACATGAAGAACATTCTTGTTAAGTAAATGAGTCTCCCCCTTAGGAAACTAGCTACCAATTTATTTTTTTTTACCTTCCCTAATTTATTTCTTAAATATTTGTTATGTCCTATGAAAAATTCAACTGTGACTATTCCTACCATTTCTTTGACCACCCACCCAGCCCTTCCCCGGCAGAATGGTACTTACAAATGTTCTGTTAGGGTCTGTCAGTTTCTCCCCTATCCCCGACATCTGAAGTCAACATATGGGCTCAGCTTTATCCTTCAAACCTAAAGGCCCTATTTTGATCGTGCAAAGCTGCAACAGCTCCTTCTCTGAAGCAAACCCAGAACACTGTGCTGCTTGCCATTCCCAATTTATGGAAGGAAGTGTATGTCAAACAACCCAGGTGATGACTCAGACTGCCTCCCCCAGCCACATTTTCCCTAGAATGGGAGGGTAGTATAAGTGCAGCCCATTTAGATGTGACTCAGTTTTATTAGATTGATGATTGTAGTTAATCTGACAAGCTCACATTTTTCTTTTATAACTTGTGCATTTCAGGATCAGAATGCATGTTCTAAATGGTTTCAAAAAACTGGATCATGTAAACTAGAATGTTGCACGATTACTTTTGAGGTATGGCCAGTCTCTGATTCTATTCCTAAATACTTAAAATTTCAGAATTATTTGTTGAAAATTTTACAACTGAGGCAATCAAACGTTTGCATTCACATGACAGTAGCAAACAGTTTTTATATGTTTAGGTCTGCTAGAGGCTTTTAACATGGTGAACTCAGACTCTTTCGGTCCTCAGAACCCAAGTTTAAGTCTCTAAGTCTGGGGCCCATGTGGCAGGTTCTTCAGGAAGTGGTCGGGTACATGAGAGCCATGTTGCAGTTTTCACTTTTGCATTTACTGCAATTCACATTCTCAACTGAGTTACTCACACACAAGCACACATGCAATACAACCACATCACATACACACTAATCTGTACAGTCCTTTAATCCCAACCTGCCTAAAAGCTGCAAAATAAACACTTGAAAACCATCAAAATGTCATGTGAAAATTCCAATTAAATAAATTGGCATGCCTAAACGTCTTCCTCCTCAGTAAAAAATTTACTATCTAGATAGGGGTGGCATTACATGGAATAAATTGTTCCCAGGTATTACGCAGACAGGAAGAATGCAGTAATAAGAAGTGCTATTACCCACACAGAAAATCTGGAAGGCTCAGTCTAAGTAGTTTAACTAGTTTATCTTTTCAGCATACTTCCTTTAACCTTGAACAAAGTCAGCAACTGCTCGGACCAAGGCTTGACATGAAATGTTGATTACGCCTTGATGGACAACTAATTTTATTAAATAGAGAAAACGTTCTATTTCCATAATATGTAAAAATGTTCATATATATAATTTTTAAATTGGTAGAAGAGTAAAGAAGAGGTATACACCTAAAACAGTGAAAAACAAGTCAGGAGTTGACTATTCACTTTAAGAAAAAGATTCTCTTTGGGTTAAAGAAGTACAAATTGGTAGTTAATAGATGGTCATGGGGATGGGGAGCATGGCATAGGGAATACAGTTAATGTTAATGTAATGGCTAGGTGGAGAGCCAGAGGAAAGAGCAATTAGGGGGATTATTTTATAAACAATATAAATGTCTAAATAATGTACTATATATACTAGAAACTAATAATGAAATAAAATTTTTAAAAAAGATTGTCTTTAGGATTTTACTAGAATAAATCTCACATTAAATTTATATATAGAAGTGATTTTCAGAAATTAAATTGACACAAAACTATTTAGAAGTAAATTTCCAAATTATATTTTTGAAGTCTTTCTATCTTAACTATGTGCACATATTTCTTATGCAGTTATTAAAACTTATTCATACTTTAACAGGAATGTGTTAATCTAGTACTGAATGAGTAAAATTTTATTAGCTTAAAGAAAGTTACCTTTCCACAGTACGTAGAGAACATAAAATCTATAATTATAAGGCTTTCAATGGAAATAAACATAGACTACGAAAACAGAATGTTAATAAAATCAAACACCTAAAACTTCTGCCATCTAAAAGAATCTATATAACAGATTTTAAAAGCCTGGAGCCAGACTTTCTGGGGTTTGAAACTTGACTCTGCTATTCCTAGCTATCTATGGCACCTGAGTTAAAAAGCTAATACCGTACTTACACCCAAATTTTTGACTGTGCAGGAGATTGACACACCTAACCCTTGCTTTCTTCAAGGGTCAATGTATATATAAGTGCTGAGGACAGCAGCTGCCTGACAGTGAGCACTATGTAAGGGGTAGGTATTCTATTATCATTATCATCCCATCTCTACTCCTTAACTACTCTTTGCATCATTGTTTTGAGTAATAATACACACCTTAGCCATTCTCTAAATAACATTTCTGCATGAGAAAAATACAATTCTATAACTTTTGTTTTAAAAAAAAGATTCGCTTGTAACTATTTTATTAACGATGACAAACAACTAGTGAATTCATATTTTCCTCCCAAAGTTTCAGTGGTTTAAATATGTGTCTGATTTTACATCTGACATCTGTTTGGGTCTTTCTGTCCAAACTTCTCAGAATTTCCAAAGCCAGCACAGAATCGGGCTGAGTCCAGTAAGGGAAACTATTCAAGACATTCCATTCCAGTTGACCCAAATGGGTCAAGACATAGAACCTCATCAGCCAGGGAGAAGATGAACAGGTCAAATACTGGAGGAAACACTATAGCTTCGTCCGGGGCAGCGTGCTGCCCTTGACATCAACAAGAGGCCCTCAAACAGGGGTTCAGGAAGTGGTTTCAGACCCAGAAAAAAGTACCTGAGATCCACTGTTTATTCTCTCTACGGGGTCCTGACTAAAACTCCACCACAGTTACCCTAGGGGAAAACCATGGAATGGAGGGTGTGTAGGAGGTACAAAAAGAAACCTCAGCATGCATTCTTTCCTCCACTGTCTTTCATTAAGAAATTTCATTTATTAAAGGAGAAAACTATATGGATATCCATTTGAAAACTATATGAAGAAATTCAAGCATCTCACAAATCCTTCAGTTACAAAAGCTAATCATTTCCAACTAGCATATAACATATTTGGAGAATGATAAAAAGGACAGCAACCAGTCATATCTGAGGTATAGGCAAGCTTTATAAATATGGAACTCCTCAAATACAGTACTCAGTACTGCTCTGAAGGATAAGAGAATTCTGTTTCATTTGAGGGTGAGCAACTGCTTCAACTTGTCTTTATCCAAGCAATATTTCTGAGACAGATGGTAACTTAATGAGGGAAAAGCCAGCAAAATAGAGAAGGTGGTTAGGATTACAAATGAATGTTTAGGGGAAGGCTTGAATCCATTCCCCTCCATGTGGGAGCTCAGTTTGAAGACACACAGAGACCTGATTCAACAATTCATTTAAAGGCAGGTTTGGAGCTCCAGCGTGAAATTTCCTCTCAAACCCAGCGAGGTCCCCAATCTTTTTCGCACCATGGACCGGTGCTCCTATGAGAATCTAATGCCTGATGATCTGAGGTAGAGCTGAGGTGGTGATGCTAGCGCTGGGGAGCAGCAGCAAATACAGATGAAGCTTCACTCGCTCGACAGACGCTCACTTCCTACTGTGCCGCCAAGGTTCCTAACAGACCACTGACTGGTACCAGTCAGTGGCCCGAGGCTTGGGGACCCCTGCTCTAAACTACCAAATCATCCAACTGTGTCAGATTCCTACAAACCAGAACTGCAAGTCAGGATGCAGACAGACAGCCTGGATTCCAATACTGGCTCTTAGGATTATTACCTATGGGACCTTGAGAAAGCCATTTCATTTCACCAAGGCTTTTGTTTTATCTGGAGAATGGGAATAAATGAGGAAATACAAGGAAGGAATGGAAATCACTGTCCCAATAATGTCTGCCACCACCATCAGCTCACTAAGGGTGACCCGCCACACTCAAGACAAATATTCCAACTCTTCAC